ACCATTACACACAACTACTGGTCCGGCGCAGGTCAAATTTGAGCAGCGCACTTCCCTCTTATGACGCCTGATTTGAAAATCCGGCGCTGATTTTCACCACTCAGGCTTCTTTTCAATTTCTCAAGAGTTTCTTCTGTGGTTAGGTTCATTAAATAATACATAGCTAAAGGTACTAGCCTCGAAATGGTATAGTAGCCCGCTGCTCTATCCCCTTTGCTTTTCTGCCATTCCTCTATATGTCTCGGCACTTTGAATGGGAATGACCTAATATAACTGCTTTGTGAGCACACTTATACCTCTTTTTAACGCATATAAACACGAGAGGACACCAAGACGGTGTCCTCTCGTGTTTATATGCACGGCATTGAACTTCACTCCGTCATGATGAGAAAATCGGGTGTTTTTTAGGCGCATCCAAAATATGCAGTTGTCTACGATATCTTTGTAGTGAGCTGTCTGTACAAGAAAACACTGGAACTCGTCTGCTAAATCTCAAGAACCCTTGGAAATGATTGTGGCTGTTTTAGCCATCAGATGATTCTTTTCTTTAACAGAATCATCAAGAAAAAGGTCTAGAAGATTACCACATCGTCAAACAGAATGCATCGTCCACAAGAAGAGGACCCATCCTGTCGGCTCGGGAGACCTTCAGATTGACGGTAATTTGATTCACTGGCCCAAACAAAGAAAGCAAGATTAGTCGACACGGCAGCGGAATACACTCTAAAAGTTTCTCGGCCGCTGCTAGAGCCAAAAAAGCGATAAGAACTGATAAAAGAGAACAATCACCTCTCCCCTAGAGTATAATTGCAGCATTTTAAATGGAAGCATGATTTTACCGATTGTGGAATTCCAGCTCTTTTCCGGCATTCCGTATAAATAAATATTGTTCGGTCGAGCGAATCTCGAAGCTTTCGCATTCAGGTACATGGCACTTCAGATGTCCGTGGTCGAGCGGTGATCAGACTACGAAAGTTTTAAGAGGATACATTATGGACGGACTGACTTTTCACTGAGAATCGGTCCAAGGCCCTTCGTTGAGCCCTAAGTAACAGTTATATACCAACGACGTCTATCAGGCTTTCGCCGCACATATAAACGTGAGCACCAAGTAGTCACTGTCAGCACTTGACGCATCGTCGGTCGTATCTCACCATGACATCATCTCTGCCTCTCCGACCTTAGAGCTAGAGCACACGAAATAGTACATTTGACCTTGGAGAAAATCCCGCTGATCATGAATCACCCTCCATCCCTTACCCAATAAGTTCAAGTTCAATAGATTAGTAGATTCAGGAGGGTGTCACCATCTCAGTCACAAGATACCGCCTGTGTTAGCGCAGACCACCAACAGACTGACAACAGTGAAAAAGCGGGTGCTCTTCCACCTAGAGTTACTGTAATTGGCGGCATAAGTCTTTCCGATAATGCGCTATCTGTTCTAAATCTCGGTCCCAGTTTTGCACCGAGTAATCGGATAGGCCATGGGTTTCGCGAAAAATCCTGGGAGCCTTGCAAACTCTTCAAGACAATCTTCGCCTCAAGGCCAAACTGCAGGAAAACGGCTCACAATCCATGATACCATCACGTTTTCCCGCACCGCCATTACCCTCCCTTCTTCAAACCCTGAGACCCCAATCCCTCGGTGGATGTCAAGTTTCGGCTGTTCGCGACCTCCATATTCTCCATGCTTAGTCGCAACAGCTCGATAAGACCACCCTCAAATCTCACAGCTGCGCAAAAACGCGGGCTCCAAGAACTGAGGGATCTCATACACTCCAATCGCGTCTAAATATCGGTCAGCGATAACAGGAGGTGAGTTCGTGGTTGCCTCGAGATCTTGATATTGCCATAACAAAATTGCACCTCCGAGATGAAAGTCTTTACCGGCCATCATCTGAGGAGGAATACAAAAGGCAATATCGCAGGCTAAACAGGGTGTGGGTCGATATAGCAAAGGCTGTGCAGCTGTCAAGAACCGTAGGTACACGACTAAAAATGTGATCTACCAACCTGCCCAGTCCTCTATGTCCTCATCAAGACTCATAAGCTACAGCAGACCACCCTGTCTTCCACGAATCCCTCGGACTTCAAGGTACGCCCGATAATAAGTAGCGTAGGGGGCCCACCGACAGGATATCGTGGCTGTTGAATCTTGTACTGGTGCAACTGTTGCCTTTTATCCCTGCCCACCTCAGTAATACCAACAACTTCCTTTGAGAAGTTACGGGTGGCCAGGTTTAGAAGGAATCATGTCATGGAATCGTTTGACGTTACGTCACTCTACACCAACGTGTCAAACGAGGGCGCCATGCAGGCCACCTTTGAACTGCTTCGTGAACATGAGCAATCGATAAACATGTACGGCCTTTCGACCACCCACGTAATGACACTTGTAAAAGAGTGTCTTGACTGCTCCATTTTCAGGTGGTCGGGGCAGTACTACAGGCAGATCAGAGGACTGGCTATGGGTCAACGGTTAGCACCAGTACTAGCCATCGCCTACATGTCCAAGATCGAAAAGCCGCTTCTGGACCGCCGACCTATCCTATACTGTCGTTACATAGACGACTGTTTCGTGGTTTGTTCAACCGCGAAGGAAATGGACGCATGTTTTGACCTGCTGAACAACCAAGCTGAGAACATCCACTTCACAAGAGAGAAGCCACAAGACGATTGGCTTCCTTTTCTCAACGTGCAGGTCCAGTTGATACGAGGGTTCTATCGGACCAAATGGTACCGAAAGCCCAGCAACAAAAGCATCCTGGTCCATTTCTTTTTCCTTATTTCCGCATCCCCTCAAAACAAAACGGGCTATCAACAACAACATGTTCAGGACGGCTAATACAGTTTCTTCAGGCAGTCAGGAGAAAGCGGAGTCCTTGGAGCTCGCCCAGAACATTTCCCTTTCCAACGGGTACCCCCAAGGGCTAAATGCCTTTCTGGACCACCTAGTAGGAGGCAAGAGGGATCGGAAGTCGAGCAGTCTGGGAAGGTGCCATTTTGTTTGCCTTTTGTGAGCGACGCGATCAGCTGCACCGTAAGAACGACCCTGCGTAGGTGTGGTCTCGACGGTCTAGTCCGTGTAGTCGAGATCCCCTGCGAACCTTAGGGA